TGTTTGATTTGTTTAATTGTGTCACATATATACCTATTGCACCACTCTTTCTCAATGTGCATAAATTGCCCAACTTCTTGTATTGCACATTAAAATGATCACAAAAAATGCGGTTTGAAATAATTAGAATTGTTTCTAACTTCAGACTACAGGAATTAATCGACAATGATACAACAGAAAACTGATTCCTCAAGGCACAAAATGCTCTTCCTTCTGAGCACTCCAGAATGCTAAGCCAGCCATGCTAGAGAGTAACATCATTACAATTGGATAAAACATTGAACAGTGACGACAGCTAACCTCGATGTTGGAAATTCGAATAAAATGAAGATCGCTATGCCGAACACGTTGCAGTATATCGTTCAATATGGACCAATGGGTGCTTGTTTCTGAATATTGGAAGCAGACGTTAGAAAATCAGGTGTTCAAATGGAGAAAACTTAAGGAGGGAAGAGCTCAACATCCATAGATGGAAATGTAGATTGGGCCATTCTCATTCCTCTGAGTAAATCCTTAGCCGTTTCCTTCTCCTGCAATGACAGATACAAAATATTTGTTGAGTGAGACTTGAATTATATGTTGGCCAAGATATAGTAAATGTCAAAGGCGTAAAACTGATAATACTCACCGGGCCAGTGTAATCCAAAAGCCGTGTACAGTATATCTCTGCTTCATCAAATTTCTTTTCTGTTTTATAGTATGTAGCAAGAAAAAGCAGAGCTTCAACCATATTCGGTCCTTCCCTCTCTTCAGCTTCCATTCTCTCTAAATCCTTCTTGTAGTAAAATGCTGCCTCTTCAGACTGCCCCAACTCAGAATGCAGTTTAGCCAACTGGTGCAGGGCAATTGCTTCCCTATCGTTACAATTTGCAGCCCTTCTGTAACACTTGATTGCCTCCTCCAGCATTCGTAGCTGTTCGCTTTCGTAACATTGAGCCATGGCAATCCACAACCGAGAATCATTGGGCTGCAAAAATACAGATTTCTTGAAGTAATTGAGAGCATAGAAAGGCATGCCCATCATTTCGTAAGCTTGCCCTAATCCATACCAAGCTCGATAATCACATGAATTTATATCCACAGCCCTTCGATAGGCATCAATGGCAGCAGGAATGTTCTTCATCTCCACAAATTCATGTCCCATCAGAGTCCAAGCAGATAAATAAGTTTTGTTCAATTTGAGTGCCCTTCTGAAATACACAACTGACTTCTCATGCTGTCCCTTCAAACTATAGTAGTTTCCAATTATGCAGCAAGATTCAGGTCTATACTTATCTGTCATGAAAACCCTATGAGCAAGGTAGCTCAAGGCAGAGAAGGATTCCTTTGCATAGAGCACATTTGAATACATATCCATGTCTTCCACCCGATATGGATCATTTCGAAGAAGTTCTTCGAATATAGCTTCAACTTGATCAAACTCCCTTAAACTATATTGGGCTTTTGCGATTTGAGCTTGTATGTAATTACTAAAACTAAAAGTACCTTGTAAGTTCTCATATTTTGCCAAGGATTCATTATGCATCCTGAGTTCTTGGTAAGCACTGGCAAGGAAGAAGTCCTTCATCCAATGGTTATTGAGATTGAGGCTATTCAATATGTCAATTGTAGTGCACAAGGCTTGCAGCTCTGACCATGCGCTCCAGTTCCAAGGGTAGCTGTTCACTGACTCCATGAGAACTGTGCGTGCAAGATTCTCACTGCCTTTCTGCTTGAGTACAAGTCCATACAAGTACAGTCCAAATGGGTCAATTATACCATTCTTTCGAAGGGTTGATAACTCCCTTTCCAGTGAAACCAATTCTCGGTTTACAGCATCACTCTTTCCCAATGATCCCTCAAGTTCTACTACCTCTTCTTCTTTCCGCTTTTCACCAGCCTACATGAAGTGAGACAAGATTTGTCAATTTGTGCAGTGGCTTTTAAGTTGGAGAAAAATAGAACAAGAATGAAAGAAAGACCTTGAACCTATATCTGTTAATAGCAGTACTTAAATACAAAAAATGTCATAACAATTACACGGACAATAGAATAAATAATAATGCGTTCAATGAGTCAATGAAGTATGAAATGTCCCTTCTCCAAACAAAAGATCAAATCAGAAGTACCCCACCATGAGTTTTTCTTAGTTAACATGATCAAAAAGATTCACAAGTACCAAATCCAAATATTTACACTGCATTTTAAGCTGAAATTCTTGGTGAAGTCTCAAATGCAAAATGTAATGGACAAGATTGCCATCACTTAATTGACATGAGTGGGCTAAATGTGATGATTGTTCAAAATCAAGATTAACATCACAACCTCTGTAACCAAATACTCCAACATGGAGTATTCTAGACTTTGATTAGATGAATATGTTATCGTACATCTCATTCCAGATTGGGCATTTGAATCTACCCAAAACACAAAGAATTCCAATAAGTAAAAATTCTCTTAGAGCTTCACCTCAAATATCCTTGTGTACAAACATGCAAACTATGATTGTTGTACCAACGTGTTAAATGGAAGTTCAGAAACATGAAAATCCTTATATATCAAATTCTAAATACTTCACCAATACTTCTTTCAGGTGAAGAATCATTCTCTCTTACACTCCTCCACTTGATTTCTAACTAAATTAAACAAAAAACTGGCCAATCTGTCAACAGAACAAAATTTAAACAAATAATGGATATCATGGCAACTGAATATGTACGAACCAACACAGTCAAGTGAACTAGACTTTAGGCTTTCTTGTATTTATCCGTCAAATTCGATTACCCATAACAGGAACTTAAAATCATGAATAAAAAGTATAGATGGCAAGGATTAACGGACCAGATAGAGAGCATACAGCCGCAGGAACACAGATTTCTTTCCACTTTGTTCTCGAAGAACATGAGCAGCCCTATTATACTCACGGCAATCGAAGTATGACTTGGCCAGAAGGTAAAAATCACCATCCACAATCTCATCCTCCTCCATCACCGGAGTAGGTACATAAGACAGGCCAGCAATTGGGGTCGAAAACCCCTCATTTGTGTGAAATCTCCGACGAATACTAGAGCTTCCACGCTGAAACCTAGTGTTAGAAGGCGTGAACTTCGCCGGATCTTGCTCGATACCGACCAATTGCTCCGCTGCCCTGTAGAGGCAAAGGCACGTCAAAACTTCAGTGAAAACGTTTTAGCCATATAAAAATGCATGGACCATTAATTGCAACTAGAGTTCACAGATTGTTTAAAATTGAGCATACCATAACTCGAACTTCGATCAATTCCAACGCTTACAGTTAAAAAATTAACATATATAAATTATATGGCTCGTAAGTAGAGTATCCATCCAGTAAACAAAGACAATATTCAAAATCAACCATTCATCCTCTTCCGCTACTTTCCCAGAAACCGTGGAACACTAACATCTGGAACTTAAAGGAAATCGATTCCCGAAATCAAAATTATTCACATCAACCAGAACTTGATCAGTTCAAACAAGATTGGAAGCACCAAGACAGAGAGACACAGAGAGATTTTAGGGCTATGGGAACTGTACCATTTAGAAGCAGAGTAGAGACAACGATCACTGAGCTGACGGACTGCAGTACGAAGCTCGTTTCTGCAATTTTCTTTGGAACTCATTGAATCTGTGCCCCCCTGTGGCGCCCGCCCTTGTTGCGCTCTTCCTTGTAACTCAAACTTCAAAATGTGGGCGTGGCTATCTTGCGCCTTCTGTTCGTTTCGCCCCACCGGACTCGGAGGCTCCGGCTCCTGCCCGCCCAAACTTTTAAAATAATAACTCAAAAACTAAATTCAAGTCTTTATTCAAACTCACGGGCTGAACATGATAAAGCCCACTATGACCGGGTTAAAGCCCAAACCTTGCAATGACACCGAAAGACTGAATTTTTTCTGTTTGGCCGGAGAGAAAATACGAGGGAAAATCAAGGGGAAGTGTAAGAAAATGTTTCGTTACAATCCAGCTGCAACCCTTTCGCTATGTTTCAAAGAAACATTAGTCGAAGAGTAAGCAAAACGAAGATTGTTTATCCACAAAAACGAAGCTTGTTGATTTTAAGTCGCAGCTTCATTACTCAATCTGAACCTGAATCTACCTCTACCCAAGACGCCGCCGCCGCCGCCACTGCCGCCGGTATCGCCAATCTTGTCCTCGAGTCTGATCCGAGAAGCTTGAGAGGAGTCCTCCATGGATTACAAGTGCAATTTACGCCTGAACTTGTGGACAAGATCCTCAAGCGCCTCTGGTTCCATGGACCGAAGGCGCTGCAATTCTTCAAACACCTTGAATACCATCCTTCTTACGCACACTCCTCCTCCTCCTTCGACCGTGCCATCGATATTGCAGGCCGTTTGCGCGACTACAAGACCCTATGGGCTCTCGTGGCTCGAATGCGGGCTCGCCGGCTCGGACCCAGTCCCAAAACCTTCGCAATTATAGCTGAGAGGTTCGTGGGCGCCGGAAAACCCGATAGAGCGATTAGGGTTTTCTTGTCAATGCGGGAACATGGCTGCCGACAGGACCTGCATTCTTTCAATACCATTCTCGATATTCTCTGTAAGTCAAAACGCGTAGAAATGGCTTACAATCATTTGTTTAAGGTTTTGAGGGGAAAGTTTAAGGCTGATGTTGTTAGCTATAACATAATTGCAAATGGCTGGTGCTTGATCAAGCGTACACCGAAGGCACTGGAGATTTTGAAGGAGATGGTGGAAAGAGGTATGACTCCAACTATTACTACTTACAATATACTTCTAAAAGGGTATTTTAGAGCTGGTCAGATTAAGGAAGCTTGGGAGTTCTTTTTGGAAATGAAAGAGAGGAAAGTGGAAATTGATGTCGTTACTTATACTACTATGGTTCATGGGTTTGGTGTTGTGGGTGAAATTAAAAGGGCTCGTAAGGTTTTTGATGAGATGGTTGGAGAAGGGGTCCTTCCTTCTACAGCAACATACAATGCTATGATTCAGGTTTTGTGTAAGAAAGACAGTGTGGAGAATGCGGTTCTGTTGTTTGAGGAGATGATGAAAAAGGGTTATGTGCCAAATTTAACCACTTATAACGTAGTTATCAGAGGATTGTGTCATGTGGGCAATATGGAAAGGGCTATGGAGTTTATGGAGAGAATGAGAACTGGTGGATGTGAACCAAATGTTCAGACTTACAATGTTGTCATTAGGTATTTTTGTGATGCTGGTGACATAGAAAAGGGGTTGGATGTGTTTGAGAAGATGGGCCGGGGGGATTGTTTACCAAATATGGATACGTATAATGTTTTGATTAGTGCAATGTTTGTGAGGAAAAAATCTGATGATTTAGTGGTTGCTGGGAAGCTGTTGCTTGAGATGATTGATAGAGGATTTCTCCCTCGAAAGTTCACTTTCAATCGAGTCCTTAACGGGCTCTTGCTGACGGGTAATCAAGCTTTTGCAAATGAGATTTTGAGATTGCAGAGCAAATGTGGCCGTCTTCCTCGTAAATTTAAGTTATGAAGCCAACATGGCTTATGAGTGATGTGAGTTCCAGTGCCCCCATTTGATCTTGTTGGTGACTCCGGAACCAGTCTCATTCTTGCTGAAGATGTCAAACAAGATTTCCCTCTACGCTTATACGTTTACGGGGAACGGGCAACTTAGTCCCTGTGAAACTGAAGTTAAGAGATGGAATGAAGTTGATGTCTTGAAGTCCTCCATCACCAAACAATGCACGTTCTTGAGAGATTTCATATGTAGATTACAAAGCAGCAGGTAAAAGTGGTCATTGAAGGTCATCTGTTTCCTTCTTGGTAATTCCTATCTCATATCAGGACTAGATCAGTTTTACAGAAAACCATGCTTAATTTGATTAGTTTAACCAAAAGTTCTAATCCTTTGACATGGAAATATTTTTCTTTGTCAGATATCCTTGCAGAGAACACTGAGCGATCGGGCGTACTCGTACAAGAAACTGTGACGACTGCCAAATCAGAACAATCCGGATCCGGAACTCTTGAGGTTAAACATGTAAGATTGCACAAACTATGCAAATATGATTCTAAAACACATACATTTAGTTGGATTTTGCTTGTTTGTATGTTGAATTCCTTAATTGACATGACACGATTGACATGGCTGCCTTGTGAACATTGTATGAATTCTTTTGGCCTGACTTTTAAAGGCCAATATCTCCAGGAATACAAGACCATTGACTTGATTCACCTAGCTTCTACTCTGCAGCATTCAAGGCAAATTTATTCAGGTTCCTATGGCAATTATTCTATCCTGAGATCTTGCTCGGCCGAGAAGTCGAAAATCGGTGTGGAGTTTTAATTTAAGCTTGTAAAATGAGGATTTTTTACCACCTTATATTAGATCGAAACAACTTTCTTGTAGGTCCGTATAAATTTCTGGTCAGCGTGAAACCTCTAGCCAATTTTTCATTTTGTATTATGAAATCATAGGGTGCCTTTAGTATGACTTATTTTGGTGATCCGAGAACTTCTATAATGTTGGCGTGATTCAACTTGAGTAGTGGATCAGGAAGAGAGATATTTTTCGTAACAAAAATTGACTGAGAGCATGAGTTAGATAAATTTAATGTAAATCTAAAGTTGTTTAGATTTTAATTTGATATATTAGGCTCAGTAACTATTACTGATAACCTCCAAAGTTTCCTATCAAATGTAATACGAAATTTTTGCTAAAAATTTTTCATATTAACAATAAATCTTATGTGGGTTTTTTCTTTGTTTTTTTTTTTTGCCATGCGGTGGTTTGTTGACAATATAATGAAAAAGTTTCCTAAAAGAAAAATAAGAGAATAATGGAAAAGTTATTTAAAACATGGAAAATAATTTGTTTTAAAAACTAAAACAAAAATTCGCGTAGAGGAAGGACAATAATTGCTTCGTGCAGTGCTATGCATATGCTTTTGACTTCACATTCTTTGTTCATTTTGTTGGAATATGCACTACAAATTTTAAAATATTTGTTCATTATATATATATATAACACGAAACAATTTTATTAAAATATAAAAGTTAGTTGGTAGAAACAAGTAAATTAAATTGATATAAATCTAAGTCCATATATAAATAACATGTTCATTTAACTCAAGTTAATTTGATTTATAAAGTGATATAACAACAAATTAACCATGTAGTTGATGTATTTGATAGTTTTGATATGCCATCATATGAAATCGTACAATTACTTGCAACTAACAAGTGTTGTTTTCCTCGAAGTTCGTTGGTGACATAAATCAATAGATGCATGTGGTATGTTTGAAACCAAGTTAGGGTACTACTAATACTGTACTCTGTAGACTATAATCCATTTTGAAATAGTGTGATAAACATACCGATGAACCTAAAATAATGTATGTCGTAGGTGTTGTATGAAGTAATATATTTTTTAAAGTAAGGAGTAATTTATAAACTTTGAAAGTCATACAAATCAACAAATATAAATATTTATGTCAAGTCGAATGTTATATGTTCGTTCTCCGATCATAATCATAATACTCATGCAAACAAATTCTACAATAAATAAAAACAATACAACTGTCATTGGTTGAAGGATGATCAAACTTTCTTTTTCTTTTTTTTTTTCCTTACAAAATGATCAAACATTATAAAACGCCTAGATAAGCAAATATCACCGAGGTTCAAGCTTCATGTACTACCTTCAAAATGAAGGTCTATTGTACATTTTTTAAGTGATGGGTTGTTTTATGTGAATAAAAACATAGATGAAGTGCATATATTAAAATCCAAATTATCGCCATAAAAACTTTAAAATGTTATCACAATCATACCAACGACAACATCATAATAATTTGACAAAAAAAAATAACAATTATTATGGTGTTAAAGAAACAAGGTTAAAAGACAATTTTTAATTCATATACTTTCATTAAACTAACGATTTGTCACTAAACTTTAATTTGTAATAATTTAACTCTTGTACTTTAAAATTATTAATAATTTAGTTCACATAATTTACTATGTAGCATTTTAGTCATGTCGAAAACGAGTGTCGATTTTTTTTATTATTACTAAGATAGTGTCGATTTTTATTATATAACGATTTAGTATTCATAGTTTATAAATACACTTAGTCTCTTGGCGTTTAATAGATCTACATATATGCAGCATTAAGTTTACAAAAGGGTTATGTATTTACAGAAGTCAGTCTGTGACAATTAAAAAAAAAGTAATGATAATATTTTTTTTTATGTCATTCAGTATAAAATCAATATTTTTTTTATGTCATTCAGTAAATCAACTAATAAAAGTCATATGGAAATAGTATCAAATAACATTAAATAAATATGTGTTTATAAAAATATCATTACTTTTTTTAAATGTCAATTTTAGTTAGTCTGATGTGATTATATAAGTTTATAATTTATGTTATTTGTTGTTAAATATATATATATATATATTATATATATATATATATATATATTATTTGTTTAACAGTTTATGCTACTTTTGTAATTCTACCTCTTTGTTTTTCTAATAGAATTTTCTGTGTAAGCTAAAATTACAAATTTAGCCGTAAATCTATGGAGAAAATTGGATGAGATGATCTAAATTATTGCACTAATGACACATGTACGCTTTTTTAAAAAGTTGTTTTTCTAACTTTTGTTAGTTACCTACCACGTGAAATTACTTATTCGCCTCTAATTTATTTATTCTTATTGTATAACATATAAGTTCTCTATTTTATTTTATTATTTTACTTTTCTTCTTCGTCTTTTTTGTTGGCTTTGTCTTTGTTATTCATATTTCGTCTTCAGCGCCCTATCACACGTCCAATATTCGTTTGATGTACTTTATGCCTTGTGTTCTATTGTGTTTTCAACACCTTTCAAACTTTCAATTAATTTGTGTATTTTTCGATTGCGTTATCGATATCTTTCTATTTCACCGTCTCATGTGATTGAATTTTTTGTTTTCATCATGTGATTTCAGTTGCATTGCTATTATCCATTGATTGGAGATTCGTCTTTGAAGGTCAAGTCCAAGTTGGAGATCCGTATTTTCCTTAAATGCCAAAATTTCATATTTTTCTTAATTATGAGTTTGTTTGTTTTTCCAATCATTTGAATCAATTTAGTATTATTATCTAGTCTCAATGAACTGTGTCCGTCAAATATTATTTTTCTAATCCTTATCATTGTAAAATTGTTAAGATTAAATTTAAAAAGTAGGTTGTCAATGTTCACCATAGTTATTTATAACTTAACTAAAAGAAACTAATAAGAAATACCAGAATTGATTCGTGTTATATAATTCCTTATAAAAAGTTAGAAAAATAAGTTTTTAAAAGACCTAATAAATCTTAACAGACAAAAACGTAGGTTAGTCATAAAAATGTCTCAAATCTATGACTACATTATTCAGATTTTATTTTCGGGAGTACCAATAAATCAAATTAAGGTTGGTATACTAAAAATTGCCCTTTAATCACTAACTGTACTAAAAAAATAATAATAATAATAAAAATTGCCCTTTGAATTTGGGATAGGGACATAGGAGGGCCGAAGGGTCCCACCGAGAAAGGTCCACGTGTCTCAAAAACGAAAAATGAAAAATGAAAAAAGAAAAAAAAAATCGACGATACACGTAACGTGGAGGCGCGTAAAGATTCAACTTCCCGCTTATTCAAAAATATTCGAAAGGGGAAAATAATCCAGTGATCCAACGCTCACTAAAATTTCAAAAAATTACGAAGACCCGCCCCGCCTAAAGTCAAAAAAGCCCCTCCTTCTCCCTCCATCTTCTTAATCTTAACGGTCCATACTCACTCTCTCTCATCTCCCATTTCTCTCTCTCTCTCTCTTCCCTCCAATTCCCTTCCCCACTTCCCGCATATTTTCCTCACCTCCCTTTTCAGATCTGCGGCGGCGGCGGCGACCTCTCCATGGCGGCTATGCCCTCCTCTTCCGCCTTGCCGGATTCTTCTTCCTCCAGGCACCATACTTACAGTCGGAAGCAGAAATCCCTCGGTCTTCTCTGCTCCAAGTACCTCTCTGTTCCTCTCATCGTATTCACTGTCTTCTCCCTCGATGGTTTCAAGCTCTCTACTATTGTTTTTTGTTTTTATGTCTGTTTTGTGCAGTTTTCTGTGCTTGTATAACCACGATGGAGTCCACTCGATAGGGCTTGATGATGCCGCATCGCGATTAGGTTTAATTCTATTTCGAATTCGTAGTATTACGGTTTTATTTCTTCGCTTCTGCTTGGTTATCTGTAATTTGTGGGGGTTTTTTTTTTTTGGGTGTATGCAGGTGTGGAAAGGCGGCGGATCTATGATATAGTGAATGTTTTGGAGAGCGTCGGGGTGAGAGATTTTGTGTTTGTTTACGAAGTTATTTTGGGCTGAATCTAATTTCGTGCATACGCTAACTTAAGCTTGTGTTTTCCCCCCTTGTAATTTAGGTTCTGTCGAGAAAGGCGAAGAATCAGTACAGCTGGAATGGTTTTGGGGCAATCCCTAAGGCGTTACAAGATCTCAAGGTAAGGTCGAATAGGTTTTCCTCGCGGAAAATGGAGTTGGGTTGATTTGATTTCTTCTGCTCCCTTCATTTAGGATTTGAAAATGACTTCCATTTCAAATTTTTTGTCAGGAAGAAGGCTTGAAGGAGAATTGCAGTGCATCTGATGGTAACGATTATGCAAAAGTAAGCTTAATTAGTTTCTGCACGGTACTCCCTCCCCCTCCCCGTACTGGTGCGATTTGAAGTTTCCTCGTCTTACATTTAGTCACATTTAGGTGTCGGATGATGAAGACGATGATGAAAGATTTTCTAACCCAACTGGAAGCCAGAACTCAACTGCGGCTGTGCCCAAATCTTCATCATCGTTAAAAACCGGTACGCTTTTTCCATTGTACTTTGAGCTGTATCATCTACGGAAGTTTCCCGTCTTCATATTTTCAGTTTGCTTCGCATGATTACTTGAATTGATACCGTGGGTATAAGTCGGATGCCCTTCCAAAATATGGTTCCCTTACACTTTCTATTGCAACTGCAGATAATAGAAGGGAAAAGTCATTGGCGCTCCTGACGCAAAATTTTGTCAAGCTCTTTATTTGCAGTCATGTGAGTGAAACAAAAGACCCCAACCCCACTCCTCTTTTATTTGTGTTGTGTATGATCATCTGCACGAGCTCTGCCAATTGACAGAACTATTTTGGCTATATAGGTGAATATGATTTCCCTTGATGAAGCTGCGAGGCTCTTATTAGGAGATGGCCACAATTCATCGATAATGAGAAGTAATAAATCCTAAACCTTGCTATAAATGTTAGAATGTGAACTGGGAAGTGCTTGATAATGACCTGTTTATGATTATATGCTGCAGCAAAGGTAAGGCGGCTATATGACATTGCAAATGTGTTGTCTTCCATGAATCTAATTGAAAAGGTACTGTATTGCAGCATCTTGACAACGTTAAAAAATACAAGACAGTGAAAACTGTGTTTATTTTGTTGGAACAAGTTTGAATTTTGTTGGAATCATATGCAGACCCATACAACAGACACAAGAAAGCCTGCGTTTAGGTGGTTGGGAGTGAGGGGTAAAGTCAAGAATGAGCCTACCGTCCTCCCAGAGTCCAGAAAAAGGGCATTTGGAACTGATGTAACAAATGTCAGTTATAAGAAGACTAAGGCTGAAAACTCAACCACCCATGAGAGTTTAACTCATTGCCTTAACATGCAAAAGCAAGTGCAGTGTGAGAATTCTTCGCAAGAGGGTAGCCAAAACAGCCAGGATCAGGAATGTGAACGAACTTCCAAGAGCTATCAATTTGGACCATTTGCTCCAGTAACGGTAGCTAAAGTTGGCATCTCAAACAACAATGTGAAGCGGACTCATGACTGGGAAAGCCTCTCCTCGACGTTCTGCCCTCAGTATCACAATCAAGGTAATTCTCCTAATTAAACACGGTTGAACAAAGTGCTGCTTTTATTTTGAAAACGCTTTAGCGGATCTAAATGAGCTATTGAGTTGAATGTGAAAACTCCTTTCACCTCTTGGTATTTATTCAGCACTTCACTGTTTTTACAATTTTCAATCACACTTCAGCATGCTTCTCATGCTTAATATTGTAAACCTTTATTGATCAAATATTAGGTGACAAGTTGGGATTTATAAGATGATCTTCAAACTTGACACAAACTAATGCTGTGGTGTTTGTTCTTGGAATCGTCCAGCCTTAAAAGAACTTTTCTCCCATTACGTGGAAGCTTGGAAATCATGGTATTCTGAAGCAGTGAAGAAACCTATACAAATTTCTTGATCCGCCCTTTGTTTCGTGCTCCAAATATTTAATAAGCACACCTCGATTAAGCGCAGTTTCTACTGCGATTAGTTTAAAAAATTTGACCTTAGTTTGGTTTGCATTTTCTTAATGCACCAAAATAGGCAGGGGTCATCTTTGAAAGTGCAAAACATTTTCAATAGATTCATGTTTGTTTGTATTATCTTCGAAAGCGAGCCTAACATAGTTGTTAGTTATTATTTTTTTCTTCATTTCCATGTGCGTATTTATTGTAGCTTCCTCTTTTCCTCTACAATGTTGAATGAAATGGGCGACTTCGCCTTCTGTTGAAAAGTGATTTCGAATTGGAACCAAAATCATGTACATGTTGGAGTTTTTCGTCTTGAAATCTTATTATGTTGCTCGTCTGTCGATATCATCCTAGGTTTCTGGATGCAATTCTTGTGAAAGTAAGAAAAATTCAATTGAGAGAGAAGTTGGCTTATCGATTCTGGGTCTCCATTTGCTTCGTGCCTTGAAGTCGCTGAATTGGTCGTTCCGTTACTCCCACAGGATTTAAATTTTCCTTCCATTCCGCTCAACTTTCCCGGAAAAAGAAATTTTCTGGAGAAATCGCGGGAAAGTAGACTGCAAATGTTCATGGAATGGGTCAAAAGCAGTCAGTTTAAGGACGGTTTTTTTTTAAATTGTCTATGTATTCAATCGAGGTGTGAATTTAAACTTTTTGATGTGGTTATTGATGTTCTGATAGTCTGTTTATTGATCAGGATAAATTTCAAATAAATTTTGGTGTTTGTTATCCTTGGAAAGCACACAGATTTCAAATCAGAAAATTAAAATTGTTGGATTTTGATGAATTTCATAGAATCTAATTTATATCTTTCCCATAATTTAAAATAATTCCATCAACTTTCTCATCCTAACAATTCAAGGAAAAAAAAAAGTTTCATGATTGAAAATTGTAAGCTCCATTTTAGGGGGGCTTTTCTTGTCTTGCTCTCGCCTTAGGGGGGTAGTCAGTAATTTCACATGGTTTCCTGGATTTATGATTTATCCTTCTGGAATGATCTAGAAGGCCCCTTTGATAGGCCGCCAAAAGCATAGATCATGGACTTAGTTGGATTTGTTAGGCCCAAAGAATTGTCAATTTCTAGCAAAGATGACTTCATTGTTGATGGAAGTTTGATGTATATAAGATTTGTCATGCACAATGGATTGGCGTACACTTGCACAACGGTAATATTGTTGGTTTTGGACTTGCTCTTGTCGTACTTTTAGTCGTTTCTACTTATACGTTCACTGTTAACATGTGTTTATGATATTTTTCGTTGATGAGTCTGCACTCTTCGATGTCTAAACTATAACTTTAAAAGTGAGCGTATAAGTAGTTATACTTAAATCGGTGCCGAGATGAGTGCTCACTGTGTTCTCACCCCCTCGGTTTGGGGACCTACACATTTGGGCTGGAGTGGATCATATCGAGCTCCAAAATTCACCCCACAACACTCCCAATTTTTTTTTTCTCTTCTTTGGAGTAGCTAAAATAGGATTTTAGTTGTAATCTTAACAAAATTCTCCATCTCTATATCTCTAATCTAAAAAAAAAAAAAGAAAAACTCACCATAAGGTTGGTAGAAAATTTTAATTTGGGTCAATGCTGTTAATTAATCTGGGACTTAGATGTCATTTCGTAGATTTTCTTTTGTCCTTTTTGGTATTTGATGCGGTGAGAGGGAGGGTAATTTTTGAAACAGTGGATCAAATTGAAATTTTGGTACGAAAAATCGGCAGTTACGAATTACGATTACGAAAGTTTTCTCGGTTGTGCTTATGGTGGTAGTAGCGAAGATCGAACTTCGCACATCTTCGTCTTCTTCACCCCATGTGAAGGGTTTCATAATTGACGACTGATCGAGCAAACTTTGAAGTAAATTTTTGCAAATTTCCATGTGAGTTTCTCTGTCTGTGGATGTTTACAAATTGTACTAATTTCTCTTTCTGTTTACAACCAAACACATCCTCTGCATTCTGAAAACTGAATGATCTTGACAAAGTTCAGAGTATTTCAAACTCTGTTCAGTTCAATTCATACTCTGATTTCAATTTCTTAGCCCTTTCTTTCTCAAATCGCAGCTCGAGATGGAAAATCAGACAGGAAATCGAAGGATTTGATGTAAGTTTTGATTAAAGGTTGCTGACTCCATCGCCACTGTCATGCATGGGACCAACATTCAGAATTTGGATAGGGATTCCAAGCTGTAACCAATTGGGCATTGTCTGGTAATCAAATCTGAACTAAACGCCCCATTATTTTCATATCGTTTGGAATAGAAAAAGAAATCATATCAGCTCATCATTTATATTTTATCATCTCTTTAGCTTTATTTATTCATGTTACAGGAAAAGATAAAAATAAAAATTAAGAACCATCCTGTTAGCCGAAGGCTGATGCGTGCAATTTTTGTCCCATATCAGATTGGATAAATTTATCGGAAAACTTATTAGCAAATTTGGATTTTAACGAAGAATTAGGGTTTTGCTAAATTGGGTTTTTTAGTGCAATCAGGTCGGATGGGAATTATGTAAGCTTGTTGTTGGTGGTGTGGTGGCCAACATTGATGATGTGAGTTTGTTTTTTTACTATTTTTCCACTACAATTCATACTCTATTTTTCAAGGGGTCTAGTGGCAATCAAAATATGCTTTGCTTTGAAAAGTGTATGAATAGTTCAGATTCATACACTATGCCTGCCACAAATACTGTGATAAAAGTTCAAATTTAGCTTTAATGTCTAGAACTGTTTATTTGCTGGGAGAACTGTTTTCGAAATAGTTCTTTGCTTTTGTCTTTAGAACTTATTTTAAGTATAGTGGTTATATGATTTGTAAAGGTTATTGTTATGGTATAGGATGAAACGAATGTTCAATCCTTGATTTTAGGAGACTTAAATCATATCTAAGGGATGTGAACATATCCCCAGATTAATTAGCTAGAAGTGAGAAAGATTTTTGGTGTTTAAGACCACTCAATTACTATGATTCCTTTTAGATAGAGTCCAGTAAAACCATGTGTCTAAATGAGTATAGCCATGTGTCTAAATGAGTATAGCTTAACTGGTTAAGGCATTACTTACCTCTTGTCGGAAGTTCAAATCCTTCCAATCCTTTGTTTGAACTAAAAAAAGGGCAAAACAATGTGAAGTTAAAAAGGATAATATCGATATCATTCTAAAAATATGAAAGACTTGTCATCCTAACTCCATATTTAGATGTATATAATAAGTAAACTATATTATATAGACATTTTTATTATGCTATATATATATTCTAGCATAAAGATCGAATGACTGTGATTATATTAGTTATGTATTATGGAAGTATCATACACAAGCTCTGGGTTTATAAAACAAGTTAAAAAGGTAAATGTGTATAGAAGAAGTGATTTAAGAAAAGCAAATATGGTGGTATGTCAATTTCCTAGATGATTTTTCTGCCTTTTGTTCTGTACTTTCACGTAATTTCCTAGGTTTAAAGATGCATACCTGATAGGATCACATTACCCATAAATGGTCAAACCCTTTCATGATGCAACTTTTTGAATAGATGGGGAGACATTTGATAAAATGCCAATAATTCATCCAACAAACACTATATATCTCATTGGAACGACCAATTTCTTAATGAATTTAATATTTCCTTCAATTTGTCCTTTTTCTTTTGTTGGTGAGCACTCTTAATGTTATGGACGCGTGTCCTGATTTTTTGGTCTTACCCAAAAGTTTTTGGTGACTTTTTAAGCGAGAAAAATTGAAGTTTGTGTTGGTAGCACCAGCAGAGAGATCGAACTAGTATAATCTTGGATTTCTTTTTTATGTGTACTTATTGTATTTTTTGCCACTATTGTTCCTTTGTATCAACTCATTTATCACGGTGAATCTGTTCCTCCACCTATGATTTCTTTCCTATATTATTTTTAGTAAAATTTGTGCTCTTTATATTTTTGTGTTTATGTTTATCAATTAGTTTAGTTTTTTTTAATGAAGTTTGGTTGTTGTATCCATTCTTTTTCTAAGGGGTTGTGCCTGTGCCCCTTTGTCGAGAATACCAAGTCAATGGGCTATTAGTACTAGAGGTTTCGTTTGTCCTAATGGTAAGGGTTCCAAGACATCTTGAGATCCTTTTTCATATATTTCATAATTAGAAACCCTTCAAATTAATAAACAGATCTCTTGTAGATTGTAGAAGAACCAAGTAACATAGTTTAAAAGAAAAAAAATTGTTATTCTTCTTCTACAACAAAAACTTAGAAGTAGTTAGATCATGATTTGAAAAAAATAAATAAATTATACTCCTAATTCAAAAGCTCAGAAAATTAAATTAAAGCCTACCTGCATGATGGAAGCCTTGAACAGAAGAATAAATGATAGGCACTGAAGGATGGGGACGAAAGCAAGATGAACCAAGAAAAGTGAAAGAGTACTCTAAGAGAAGAGGAGCCAAACACTTGGCAGCAAATGAAGGGTTTAAGCGAAGCAATGGGGGTGTCCTTTTGCAGACATACAGAGAATTGCTGTTCCAAAAGGATCTTCTTACCAAAAACATCTAACAGATTTCCCATTCAGTGGAGCGTTAAAGGGGGCAGCTGAAAAGGCCAAAATGCAATCTCTTGGAAAGTTACAAGCTTTATCCATGTGGCTTTTCCCCATTCTCACCCTCTACCCTCTCTATTATTAATCTCTCTTCTTCCTTCTTATGTCAAAATATTACATCTCTCTCCTTCTGTCTGAAAATATGCAACTTCTTACCATGCTGCCTTTTACTTTTACTTTTACCCTGATCACCTTTTCCCCTAATGTTACCTACTCTACCATGCCCGCCCCCCCCTTTTTTCTTTCTTTTCCAAATATTGGAGTTGGATGATGCTTCCTTCATTGGGGTACAGAGAGAGCTTGAAACTTAAAGGTTCTCCACTTCAAAAAGGATATTTCGTTTTCTCTGACAAAGTTAAAAGTTGGATGGATGCATTTGAATCTCGGATGAAAACTTTTTACTGTATGAACTTTTACCTGTAAAACTGTCATTGGTGGATTAATCCCTCATCATTTGAGCCAAAGACAAGATTTTTAGGACAAATATCTCATATTCATGAATTAGTCAATCTTATTGGACTAGAGTCAAGATTTACAGGATTAAGTTCATTATGCGTACGGAGAAAAAAAATCAAAGAAAGAAAAAAAATAACATTCAATCAACTTTCTAAGACCAAGTCAAAATCTCCAGGTCACAAAAATTGTGATATATCCTTTCCCCCCTTATTTTTTTCTCTCATGTTATTCTCATTCAAATGTATGTCATCAACAACAAAACATCATCCATGAGATGAGCAGGTTTATTTTATTGCTTAAATACATGAACAACTAAATTTACCTATTTAACTTCCAATAATAAGAATGGAGGAGGAAACATCATTTTTACCTTCAAGATTTTGCGAACTCAACTTTGGATTCACCATTTGTTTGATTGAACTTAGACTTCAGCCAAATTGGAGGGAAAATTCATAAACTAGTTTTTCTTTCTTAGTACAACAAATGTGGTGATAGAGGATTGAACCTCCGACCTCAAGAGAAGGAGAGTAAGGTGTCTTAACCTAGCTATGCTTATATTGGCACAAGTTTAGTATATTGGCACAAGTTAACTTTTTCTAAACGAAGAATCCAAAGGGGGTAAGGAGGAATGTTTTGTCCAAAATAAGCCTAAGATTATGAAAAATTTTCATCAAGTACAGGGGAGAAGGGATATTTTTTGGGAAAAGAAACCATTTTCCCTTAATAATCTCAATGATCTCATGGAAATTTGCATTTGCCAAGTTATAAAGATATGTTCCACAAAAAGTATAGGCCATATATGTACATTAATTTAGATTATAGGCTATGTGGGGTTTATTTTTTTTTATTATTATTATCATTTTTACTTTAGTGGGTGGAGAAGTAAAGTATCGTTCCAAATCCTACCAGAAAAGACATCGAAATATTGTGAGAGATAAAGATCCCTTTCAGTTCCAAACCTTTCCCCTCATTTCCTCTTCAAAATTTTTAATAGGATCTGGAATATTAATGACCTCTTTGCAATCAAATCTTACCAGATTAAAACCCAAATGACCAAAAGAAAAGCCATCACATATGGATCCTGATTATTTAAATTGAGTTGTCTTCCACTTGTAATGAGAACACAAAAACAGAAAAGAACAAAATAATAAACTTAAATCTGAAATTAAAGACCAAACTTCCGGTTGTAAAAGTCCTTGTTAATTGTATTGCTAATTTTAAGGAAAGAAGGGTTGTCCGTTTTCTTGGAAGCTGATATCTTGGCTCATTGAGTGGACCCAGAAGCCATCGCTGTCAATAATTGATATAATAAACCCACCCCATTAGTTGATTTATCGGCCAAAATGGCCTGAACCCATCTCGGATTTATGTTTTTTTTTTTAAAGTCCAAGTTTTGGCTTGTCTGTAAAAGAATCTGGGCCGTCGTCTGGTTGGGTTGGTAGAGATAATATCCCAGATGGTCGATGGGATGATGTCAAATTTGAAGATGGTGAATCTGTAATAGTGAAAAGAGCAAGTTCTGCTGTAGCCCATATGCATGGCGGATAGAGAGAGAAATAGGTCAATTCAATTGAAGGCTTGTTTAGAACCATTTCCTACGTTTCATGTTCACCAAAATTGTAGAGAGAGATTTAAACAAGTGGTCCAATTCTTGTCTTCTCCCACTTTTTGGCCAACAGAACAAAAAAAATCATCTATAAAAAAGCTGCCCAAACCCCTCGTCGGCTGCCTTCAATTCAATGATCAGTGCCTCTAAATGGGAGTTATGGAACACCATCAAACTTTTCATAATTCCGACATATATTCCGAACAATCCTACTCTAATCAACTCCAAGCAGATTTCATGTCTTCTTCTTCTTCCTCCATTTCTTCTAATTCCACCGATCCCCTCCACCGCCACCACTGTCTCTCCACTCTCAAGGGCCACTCTTCTTACATCTCCTCCCTCACTCTCGCCGGAAA